AGGAACGGATCAGTCTGGTCAGGCAGGAACTCTTTTGTTGCATGTAGCTGCAGGAGCCACCTCTCCTCAGCTGACAGCCTCTCTTTCACCCGGTCCAGGAAGCGCCGTACCAGTCTGGCGGACCGGACTCCAAGCAGCGAGCCAACCTCCTGGTCATCAGAGAAGTCCGGTCCAGCCACCTGCACCAGACGCTGGAGGGTCACCATCCTGGATCTGGACAGCGCTTCAGTAAGGCCTAGCATGCTGCTATCATGGATGTCCAGTCTTGCTCCACACACTAGTGGTTCTTCTAAAAGCCAATGCAGAGAATTATGCGTTTCTGCCCTTTGTAATTTAAAAAGAGCACAGGATTTAAAAACACCCTGATAAAACTGAGGCAACCCCTTTAACTTTAAAAGACTAAAATCAGTTAAAAACAGAGCAGCATCCAACCCCAGAAAATTTACACGTCTGAGGATACAGCTGGCCACATCCCTCCACACAGGAGATCCTGTCAGATATTTCTGTAAAAACTGTAAACGAAAAGTTGCTGTTCTACTGACCAGGTGGACAAGGCCCTGGCCCCCCTCCTCTCTGGATAAAAACAACACAGACTATGGCACCCAGTGTAGACCGTTCCAAAAGAAATTTACCATCTCTGACTGTATTTTGACTAACAAACCAGGTGGTGGGTCCAGAACAGAGAGCTTGTGCCACAGCTGCGATGCCACCAGGTTGTTTAAAACCAGCACTCTGCCTCTGTAGGACTTCTGAGGGTGGAGCCACTTCCACTTTAACAGCTTGTCCTTTATTTTCTGCTCGACATTTTCCCAGTTTTTATTTACAATATATTTACTGCCTAAAAACACACCAAGATACTTAAAACCGTCTTTTTTCCACACAAGACCTTGAGGGAGAACTGGGAGCCCAGCAGACCACTCGCCGACGGCCAGGGCTTCGCTCTTTCCCCAGTTCACCCTCGCAGCAGACAAAACAGAGAATTTTTCTGTGATCTTGGTTAAAACACTGACATCTTGCTGATCTTTTATAAAAACAACAACATCATCAGCATAGGCAGATAAAACAATATTGTTACTAAAACCAGGTAAAACCAAACCATGAACACTCGAGCGTATTTTCTGGAGGAGGGGTTCCAGGGAGAGTGCGTAGAGCATCCCCAAGAGCGCACAGCCCTGTCGAACGCCTCTACACACCCTAAAAGGAGCACACAGGCTGCCGTTGATCTTCAGCACACTCTCAATGTCACTGTACAGTACCTGGATCTTGGCAATGAGCCCCTCGCTGAACCCAAACCCCCTCATGGTTTTCCAGAGGAAGCTGTGTTCAACGCGGTCAAATGCCTTTTCTTGTTCTAATGAAATCAAGCCAGTTTGTAAACCCAATGAACCGGAGACTTCCAAAACATCCCGAATCAGGTAGATGTTATCTACCATGGACCTGCTGGGGACGCAATAGGTCTGATCCCGGTAGATGACCTGCTCCATAGCTTTCCCCAGCCTCGTGGCCAAGGCCTTGGAGAGGATTTTGTAGTCGGTGCAGAGGAGGGACACGGGGCGCCAGTTCTTAATGTCCTGCAGGTTCCCCTTTTTGGGCAGCAGGGTGATCACTGCCCTGCGGCAGGACAAGAGGAGTGAACCAGTGGACAGACTCTCATTGTATACCTCGAGCAGGTCTGTGGCCAGAATGTCCCAGTAGGCCTTGTAGAACTCCACCGTGAGCCCATCAACGCCCGGGGACTTCTGGCCCTGCATATTGAGGAGGGCTGTGTGGAGTTCTTGGAGCCCGAGGGGGCGCTCCAGGTTGGAGTTGGTCTCCTCGGAGACCTGGGGTAGTTCATCACAGAACTCCCTAAACAGTTCCTCGTTCTCTCTGTATTCGCTTTGAAATAAAGAACGATAAAACTCCACAGCCCTCGTCCTGACCTCACCTGGTTCATTCAGTTGGCACCCCGTGTCCGACAGCAAGGAGTGGATCAGCTTCCTCTGCCCGTGCTTCCTCTCCAAGCTGAAGAAAAAGCTAGAGGGAGCATCCATCTCTGTGATGTTCTGGACCCGGGACCTGACCAATGCGCCTTGGACTTTATTCTCCAGCAGGTTTGCTAAAGTTAGCCTTTTAGATTTGAGAGCTTCAATATGCTCTCGATTTCCTGTGGATTCACTAAGTCGTTCTAATTCCACAATGTTTATCTCCAGATCTCTGATAGATCTGGTAATGTCACGGGTGACGTTGAGAGTGTGCTGTTGACTCAGCAGTTTTATCTGTACTTTTCCATAGTCCCACCACTGTTTAAGACTAGTAAAATCAGACTTTCTTTCTCTAAAATCAGTCCAAAAATAAACTAAAACCTCCTTAAAACCCCGATCATAAGTTAAGGCTGAGTTAAAATGCCAGTAAGCGCTTCTAGGTAAAATGTTTTTGATAAAAACACTACCTAAAAGCAACGAGTGATCTGTAAAAGCCACTGGTAAAATCTGGCATGTTTTAAACACATTAAAATTGTGCTTAAAACAATAAAAACGATCAAGACGGGCTAAAGAGATTTTATTTTCTTTAATGTGGGACCATGTATACTGCCTGGAGCCTGCATGCATCCTTCTCCATACATCCACCAGGCCATTAGATGAGACCAACCTCCTCAGAACATGTTGGGCTGCTGGATGCGGCTCTGCATGATTACGATCTAAAAACTCGTTTTCAGTGCAATTAAAATCCCCACCTATAAAAACATAATCCTCAGACCCACAATCACCCAACCGTTCCTCAATTTCTTCAAAAAAACGCCTTTTCTCTGCATTGGTAGTGGGAGCATAAATGTTAATAAAAACTATACTAAAATTATCAAACTTTGTCTTAACTAAAAGACACCTCCCCTGAATGACATGTTCGATTTCCGTTGAGTTTGGGGTGAACGCTCTGGAAAAGAGGAAGCCCACCCCTGCACTCTGGGAGGTGCCATGACTTAAAATGACCTCCCCCCTCCACTCTCTGACCCAGTCAGTCTCTATTAAATGATCGCTGTGTGTTTCTTGCAGGTAAATTACGTCGATTTTCTTTTGGTTCAGCATTTGATAAATCAAAGCTCGTTTTTCAGCTTCCCTCGCCCCGTTAAGATTCAATGATGCCATTTTAAAAGAATCCATATTGGGTAAGAAGCTAAAACCAAAATACCAAAAGACTATAAAAAATAATAAAATACTACTGTGCATCATTTAAAATCAAAGTTGTTTTCTAACTTTAGTCATTATTTTCTTTAATCTAAAAACTTCTGTTTCTGCAAAACCTGACACTTCTTTGTTCCTGATGTGATATCTTGCTGAGAAATAAAACAGTTTTAAATCAGGAAAGAAACTTTCAATTTTTATACCTCTGAATCCTTTAGTTTCTTTTAAAAAAGTTCTAAAAGACTCTACAGGGTATCTTGGTGTTTTGCAACTTGTTTGACTGACAGATATTTCGCTGCTGTCAGAGAACCAGCTCTCATTGTCGCTGCTGTCCGACACCTCCTTCCTCTCTGCAGCCAGCTTGTAAGCCTGCTTGCTGGCCTGAACAGCAGCCACCACATTCCTCCTTTTGCTTCGCCTCTTTAACGGGGCTGAAGCCTCCAGCTCCATCACCTCCTCTGTCTCTCCCGCCACTCCAGTTCCAAAAACCAACTCTGCACCGTTCTGTTCCTCCACCTGCACCTCTCCTTTCCCTCCCTGATCCCCACACCCTAAATGCTCTTCATCGCCCCTCACCTCCACCTGCTGCTCTCCCTGCACACCATCTCTCTCCCTCACTTCACTTTCACCCTCACCACCATTCACCCCATCACCACCACCATTAATCCCATCACCACACACCACTGTGCTCTCATCCTTTCCTACATCTGCACTCATTTCCACACTTCCCACTCCTGACACCTCAACAGTACCTTCCGCCTGCTCCTCAGCAGCGGGCTCCTTCGCCACCACCGCGGGTTCTCCCGCCGCGGCTGCGGGATCCTCCACTGCTCCAGCCTCACCAGGTGGGTCCTCCACCTGCTCAGCAGCAGAGGGCTGCCGTTTTGCTGCACTCGGCAGGGCCTGCCCGGCCCTGTCGGGACACATTTTTACAATGTGCCCCTCCTGACCACAACCAAAACACTTCATGCTAGAGGACGTAGCAAACAAGATGTAATCAAAATCGTCTCCTCTAACATGAAATCGAAGGTTGAGTTCTTCATCCCTCCGATTTAATACCATAAACAGTTGTCTCCTATGGGAGACAACATGTTTCAGTAACGGTGATTTGTACCCAGAGGGGGCTTTTTTCACCGGTGAAACCACCTTACCGTGTCGGGACAGCTCTTTGATCAAAAACTCGTCGCTTATGAACGGAGGTACGTTTGATAAAGTTACCTTAGTTGAAGGCAATGTTAGCGGCGTCACCTGTAAAAACAAGCCGTTCACAGAAACGCCCACCTCCACCAACCGTTGAGCCTGCTCCACCTTCTCAACAAACAATACGACAGCTCCGTTCATGCGAGCTGCCGATCTAATAGACCCATGTCCAACCACCTCCCCGACAGCCAAACAAACTTCCTCCACGCTGCACGGAGAACCAGCGCCCACCTTGACCCCGTTCTTCCGTGTCAGCGTGGAGAAAGCCCCACCACCAACAACCATGGCGTCGTCAGACGCCGGCCAGCCAGGCACGCCTGACGGCCACACCCGAACCCAAGCAAAAAACCCTAAAAACGTGACAAAACTAATACAAAAATACAACTAAACAATTAACATAAA